TACACATATTCTTTGCTGAAGTGCCTGTGTAATTCATCTTCGTCCTCAATCTTATGCAAGCAGATTGAGCCATCTCCTCTGTTTTCCATTTACCCGCGCCATCGCGTTTCCATTCTTTTTTTCTCGTGACTCGAGGGCCTTGAGGGTTCTTTACAATTCTCACTTCACATTCGGCGCGGCCAGTCACTCCAAGCTCCAGCAATGGCATCAATTCTCAAGAACATCATCGTTATCGGGGTGAACAGCGGCACCTCATCCCCTATTGACAATCTCTGACACCCTTGTAGGCCTCCGGCAACCTCGGTCCCTCCATCCTCTCCGCCCTTGACTCCAATCCCCGCTTCGCCGGCGACATCGAAGTCCTCTCCCGCTCCTCCTCCAAAACCACCTTCCCACCCCACATCAAAATCCACCGCGTCTCCGACTCCTATCCTTTCGACGAGCTCGTCGCGGCTTTCAAAGACCAAGATGCAATCGTCGATATGGCCCCCATCACTGAAGTCGCTACGCATAAGACAATAATCGATGCGGCGATACAGGCGGGGGTGAAGCGGATCATATTGAGTGAGTTTGGCACGAACGTGCCCGAGTTGCAGACGACGGAGCCGCTGGCGGAGATTTATAGGGGGAAGGTGGAGATTAGAAAGTACATGGAGAGTAAAGAGGGACAAGGGCTGACGTGGACGGGGTTGGTGGTTGGGGCGTTCTTTGACTGGTATGCTAAATCCCTCTTGACGGCTTTCATATTTCCTAACATGGATTGTATAGGGGCCTCGAGGACGGTTTCATAGGCTTCGACCTCAAGTCCAAAACTGCCACTATATCCGACGCCGGGACCACCCCTACCAATTTCACCCTCCTAGCCACGACCGGCCTCGCCACCGCCGCCATCCTTGACAAACCCGCCGAAACAGCAAACAGATACGTCTTCATCAACTCCTTCCGCACCACCCAGAACGAGATCCTCTCCGCCCTACAAACGGTCACGCGTCAGAAATGGAACGTGAAGCATACGACGTGTGAAGAGGAGAGTAAGACTGGCAGGGAGAAGATGGAGAAGGGCGATTGGAGTGGCGTCGGGCACGCGATCATGGGGGCGAGTTACGGTGGGGGGAAATACGATTTCGCCCAGGGCAGGGAACTGGACAACGAGCTGCTGGGGCTGCCGGTGGATGAGGATTTGGAGACGACGGTGGAGAGGATCGTGAGGGGCGAGCAGGAGAAGGAGGTTGGGCCGGACGCGATGATGATCACGGAGGATCTGCCCGTGTTGCAGAGACCTAATCTGGAATAAACATCGACTGCCTGTACGATATCCACACCTGGCATCCGCATGTGAAAGCCGCAGCCATCATCTCACCGCAGCCGAGAGGTCTGCACAACAACACCATTCTCCACCCTCCCGCACCAAAAACCCTGCACACTCAATCAATACCCCCTCCCCCTCCCCCTCCCATACCCCCCCCTCCCCTCCGGCACCCTCTCCCCCCTCCTCCACTCCCCCTGCGGCACCCCGCCATCCCCCACCCTCCCCGCCCCGCCGAACCCCCCCCCGAACCCTCCCCTCCCCCTCCCCCGAAACTCCCCGCCCCCCTCCCCCCAAACTCCCCCGTCCCCCCCTGCCCCGCCCCGCCCCGTGGCCCGGCGCCACGCTCCCGTCCGCGCCCGGCGCGAAGATGGCGCACGAGATGAAATCCCCAATCACGAACCGCGCCTCCTGCAGCGTCTTGTCCGGCTCCCCGCCCAGTCGCCCGGCCATCACGCCCTCCCGTACCACTTTCTCCCCCCCTCCCCCTCCTCCTCCTCCTCCTCCTTCTTCCTCCCTCCTTCCCCGCCCTGGCCCTTCTTCCGCGGCGTCATCCCCCACCACCACGTCCCCGAGCTCTTTGCTCAGATACCGCCCGGGCGCCATCGTCGTCGTCGTCGTCGTCGCGTTGTTGTTGTTGTTGTGGTTGTTGTTGTGCGTGTCCGGGTACACGAGCCGGTAGGCGAGGCGGGTGCCGATCGCGGGCGACGGGAGCAGGGTGGGCAGCGCGGTGACGAGCAGGTGGGACAGTTCGCGCAGGGTGCAGGTGGGCCAGGTGTAGATTTGGAGGTGGGGGGGTAGCGGGGGCAGGCCGGTGGGGGTGGCGGTGGGGAAGTCGGTTAGGCTGCGTGGTGGGGGTGTTAGATTGGGGGAGGGGGGTGGGTTTGGGGGGGGGAGGGAGATTTACCTGTGGAAGGAGCCGGTGCGGTAGAAGAGCTTGAGGTGGAAGGGGGTGGTGGTTTGGCGGTCGACTTTCCCGCCGGGGCCGGTTTGCATGGCCATTGTGGGTGGTTGATGGAGGGTGGAATGGTGTTGGTGGTTTGGGGGTGTGTGTGTCACCGTTTCATTGTTGTTTGCTCAGGTGTGCGACATGGGGTTGGGGAATGGGTATAGATGCTAGAGATTTTGACAAGAGATTGTGAGATTGAGAGCGAGATTTTGGGAGCTCTCAATGGCTTTTTGTCTTGGCGGGTGAAGAAGACGCTTTTCTTAGCGTGTGCAGAAAGGTCCGGGATTCTTGGCATTATTGAGAAGATGGCGCCCGAGGGTCGGGTACAAAAGTCTGCTGCCGACTTTCTCACTGCCTAGCGCCGGAGAGTCGGCAGAGACTTTTGTACCCGACCCCCTCGGCCCTCTGATAGCTCGCCTCAACCAATGTGAATGGTAATTCAAAAGTTGTTTCATAGCTTTGAATCAGGATATTGGATTGCGTTCAGGTTGTTAGGTTTGATCTTGTATTGCAAAAGTTTTCATAGTTTACCATCCTGAATAACTCTGCCCCAACCTCACCCCGACTGGACTCATCGCGGCCTGAGAATCTGATTACTCCAGATGTAAAGGTGTCTTGCATCTGATTACAAAATGCCATGTGTCTATATTTGAGAGTTTGCGAAGTTTATGTGCTGTTGATAAGCTGAGTTGCTGTAGCATCAGCGCCGGCTGGCCAAGTCTGTCTGCAAGGCTATGTCGCGCTTCTTCATCTTTTATAAAAAGGCTGAGGTTTCAGCATTGAGAAATCATTAATCGGCTGCCTCATTGAGCAGTCTCACCTTGCAACGCCGTGCGGCGACTACTTGATACTGTCCACTCCTCCCCGCTGAGCCTTCTCTTTTTGAGATCTACTCCATTAGCCTTGTCGCCTTAAAATCGTCTATTACCAATATCAATCAGATCGTAGGAACGACCCACGATATATCCTTGATCGACTACCATGTGAAAGATATTCAGTCGGTCGGTCAAACGCTGACCAACGCAGCTCCAGCTACCTTTCCCAGAGATGAAAGGTCACGTTCTAAGGAGGTTTATGTGCCGCTACTCAGTTAGGAAGATGAAGATCTGGGAATGAACAGACACATCGGTGAGTTCGAATATGTTTTCGAAATGCTCTATGATTATACGGCGGCATAGTTCAAAATTCCAAGTCGACGTTCACACAATCCACTTGCACGGTGTCTCAGTGCTTTTCTTGAGACGCACGAATGCAAAGAAAACCTATTGGCAATATACTATGGAGGACATGGCGGTATGAATGGAGACAGACAATGTGTTTTGGTCGTGGTTAGTGTGGAAAAGCCTTCACGCAGCATTTAGACAATGCAGCGGCTCACGATCCTTACATAGCACTAATGCGCTCGAATCACCGAAAGTAAAATGTGCTGGGCTTCAGAACATGCTAGAGGACGCCGACTGTGATGTCCTGATACTGCTTGACTGCTGTGTTGCAGCTAGCTCGACCGCCGAGACTGGCAATGGGGTAACTGAGTTAGTAGCCGCCTGTGGCTTTGAGACCTAGCCTCCGGGTGTCAGTGAACATTCTTTCACCCGGAGTCTCATCGACAAATTGCGATACTGCCGTGCAGGTCCATCGCTCTCTGCGCCGCTCTTGCAGAACAAGGTACTTTCTAGGACGAAATACTAGCGCAGATTCGACCCAGGTTATCTCGGCAGGAGAATTTGCAAGGGTGAACTGTCTGGTAATACTCGAGCAAAGTATGTTGGGCAGCAGCCGTGTATTGGAGTTCGGGGATATCGAGTGAGGTATACAATACTAGTCAAGTACGCGTTTGAAGATGCTGAAAAACGCGATGAACCGGGGCACGGGTCTGCCCTTAGCTTGAGCCAGAATCCGCTGATGGAGTAAGTCGTCTACAATCTGCAAGACAGAAACCTACCGTCGATGACTGAGTCCGTCGATATACCGTTTCAGTTGCGCTATATACGGGACTAGGAGATGACTCGTCCCTGGAACAAAAGAAGGGGCTCGGCTAAATTGTAGCAGCATCTCAACTTGATCACATATAGGAATTTCATCCGCTCTCTTCAGACGCACGTCACCTCGCAACTTCCCCCACAGAGCCGGGAGAAAACTCGAAAACCTAACCTTCCGATCCGCTATCTGCCCAACTGTCTTGACAAGAATCTAGATATATTTCACCCATTCCTCGTCGTCGCTAGGATCAGGCCGCGAGTCGATGAGAATCTATGCGAGAGACTGCGCTCCTGGTTGGCCCAGCTTGGAGATTAGGTGAGCGGAGGCATCAGCGTTGAGTGCTCATCACCCAGATCAGGTGTTGCATCACCAACGTGGGTATCTCGGAGCACATCTCTGTTGCCAAGCTAATTCAAAATTTCTATACACGTTATGTGCCACTTTACCCGTTGATCAATTGCAATAACACGAAAAATCAAAATATGTTCGGCTCCTAGGTAGAAAGAATAACAAGGATCTACTTGGCGTTCATATCTAAGTATCGGAATATCGGCACGGTAATACTGGAGGCTGGGGCTACTCTGCATCCTCCATCTTCACTCTTGGTCAATGAAGGGTTCTTTCATCCTCGGAGACTGTTCCGAACCAACATGCAATTGCCGCTGCTGTCAAAATTGAATCCCCTACTCCCTTACTACGATAATGTGTCCCGAGGATTTTCCCCCATCGATAGCGCCCGAGCTAAGAGGAGGGTCACTGTCTATAATGAACGCCACGAAGGAAGGTAATGAGCTCCATGACCTCGAAGACGCCAACTTGATCGGCGACCTTGACAGATCACACACCAGGTACTCTACCTGGTTCGCAAGGCAACGACCAGCTCCAGCCCAGGAGTTGTCTGCTAAGACCACTTACACTTTACTGCCCATCGCGCTGCTACCAATGATCAACCAGCCTCCCCCGAACATAGAACCCTCTTGCTTACCCGACTCACGAAGGCTAGTCGTCCACGACGAATCGCTGATCCGCTGGCTCCTTGCGCACGGCGCCGACCCCAACGCCTCCAGCCGGAGAATGGGGTTTTACGCCGCTCTCGCACCACTCGAAGTAATCAACCTGCTGTTTGAGCGTGGCGGCTCTACCGCTAACGGACGACTCCTGAATCGTGCTTCCGACCCAATTCTGCAATGTTCGCCGGATCGCGGCGTCCCTATCAACGACACACTGTTGGAACATCGACCGGGACTTGCACACCGGGCAAATGCCGGGGCTGCCGCAACGCCTTTCCACAAATGCGGCTGCGGCAGAAAATGTCGAGTCGGTGAGGTTTTCTCTCGGACCGTGGCGCCACTCGCACGGATCAAGGTAAGATTCCTTTGGGGCAGTTGCCTTTCGACACGGCTGTGGGCTGTGAGCAGACGGTGACGGCGAAGATTCTGGCGCAAGGACCACCGTTGCCAGCACCGCGCTCTGGCATTCGGGCTGCTCGGGGATGGCGATACGCTTTTTGTACTTCTGGAGGTAAACGCTCAGGGGGGTCCCCGCTCGGTTTTCGGGTAGGGCGGCTCTGGGAGATTAAGGGATGAGATGGGCCGTCGGTGGTACAATGAACGATCGAGCGCCCCGTGCGTCTCTGGCTGTTTCCTCGGGTGGAAACTTTGAAGGTGTAGAGAACGGCGCCAATTTCAGACTTAACGCTCGTGGCCCTTCTGAAGATGGCGGTTTCGCCGTCCTCAATCACGAGAAGGTTATTGAAGTATGTCAGAGGTAAAGCAAAATTGCTTTGAATCTGGAGAATGCGCAGCAGACTAGCGTGGAAGAAAGGCCTAGCTCGTGCTGCATTGCTGTCTAGACTCTGGAGAAGTACTCGGAACTTTTGAAAAGATTGTTTTCGCGGACTATCTACTCTCTTTCTCGCCACGTGAGCCTCAAAGGCCAGGGGATAGAGGATGCGCCGGAGACACTTGACCCCACCGTTCCCGGACCCGGCTAACACTGCACACCCGCTGCTGCATTCAGCAGGGTAAACACCGCGCTCTCTCTTCCCCTCGATCACTTCCACATTGCCCATGGCTTATATAGAGCGCACAGACCAAACGCCTCAGCAATGCTCTCCGGTCTTCCCCAAGCCTAGAATTCCCGAATGATATCGCCCCTCCTTTTACCCCTCAGCTCGTACTTGCCCTGACAGCGACCCAAGATATCAGCAAATCGTCCAGAGTACGTGATCCATTCCCCCCAGAGCCCTCTCTCTCTCTCTCTCTTCCACCATTCCGCACCACGCATTCTCCCAAAATCGCTGCTCAGAGCGGGGGCGGGACCAGGCCACTCACCTCCGTAACATACCCCACATATCCCACAACAGACGGCACGGCCACGACGTAGACGAAGGTGATCCAGGCCGTGCGAGGCGTCCAGCGGAAGTACTTCCACCGATTGGCCGACATGTCTGGGATCGTGTCAGTGGGCTCCCTCTTCGTCGTCGTCGTTTCTTCTCAGGCGGTGTAGAGGGAGTCGGAGGAACGTTCATGGGCCGCGTCTGAGAGGCTGTTGAGCGCAGGGGGTGGAGAGGCTTACTGTTGTATTTGACCAGCGCGGGGTCCATGGCCAGGGCTGCGGAGGGGACTGTTAGCGGTGCGCTTGCGGCTTTTGAAGGGATGTGGGGGTGGTACAGTTGTTGTGGCCTGCCATGTTGATGGGAGTGCGGAGTGCGAGGAGGTTGATGAGTGCGGTGGGTGGATGTGGGTTGGTAGCTGTGCTGGTGGAGCGGAGGTGAGGTCGCTGTCGTTGGAGTTGCGCTAGTTTTAGCCTGGAACGGAATCCCGAGGTTTACCCGTGCGAAATACCCCTCTTTCATTGTTTTCTCTGCATTCAAGAAGCGTGCAACAGAAGGTTACAAACATTTCTTCGAGCTCTACGTGACAGATTGTTATGATAACTCTAGCTTTATTTTGGAAAATAATACTAGTATTACTTGATCTTGGGTCTTCGTGGCACCATTGCTTTCCTGCAGCCCGGGACACAGTCAGGACTAGGGCGCCTAATATGTAAAGGGGCTACCGTCAGCAAGGCCCGTAGTCGTCTGCATTGCTTAAATCGGACATTTATAACTTTCGACATAGCAGGCAATTGTGTTGTCCTTTTGAAAACGAAGAGCTCTGCGATTTCACCCTCAACGCTTCAACTCCAAGGTAGACCGCAGGTTTTGAGACAAGATGCCTTTCTCACGTCTTCATGGATCATGGAGAAATGGTGATTGCAATGTCTGATATGCGACAGAACTGCAATCGATTAGTAAACAACGGAGTAGTGTCCTCGAAGCTAAAAAGACAGATGTCACATACCCAGTGCATCAGTAGCTTACGTTATGCTTAACCGACGGCCAACGCTTTGGGCTAATCAATGGGAGTCATCCCCAAAGCAATCCTCACCGCAGGTACAGATTCTATCGACCCATGCGGGAATCGCTCCGCCGTCGTAAGGGCCTTGGATATCGAATGACAACATTTTGTTAAGCTGCGCTGTTTCATTGGAAGCTAAGCAATCGAAAAGAGTATCTGACTGCTCATGATGAGCAGTAGACACACGCAGAGTTCTCAAATGGGGCAGCTGAGTCTTGCTCTCCCGCACCAATCCCACAAATGCTTCTCTCAGTTTCTCGTCAGAGGTGACGTCGACCCAGCGCATGTCAAGACTTTCGATGGAGGCGGGTAAAGCGCCGATGAGGGTTGCGCCGTTGCTCGCCTCCACAGCCCAACAAGGACCTGTGTGGAATTCAACTCCTCGCAAGGCATGAAACCCTCGAAGAGGGGCAAGTCCGCTCTGGTCGATGTCTCGGGCGCTCAATCTCAGATGCTCGAGAGTGTGGCTGGCATTAGCCTCTAGAGATTTCATCACAGTGATGCAGTCGAATGTGGGCTCATTCTCATCAGGCCACAATTGTGTGAAGTCGTAGGCGAACGATTTCAGAGTCTTCACTCCTCCCAGGAGCTCGGAAAGCGCCTGTTCGGACACGAGACCGCTCCGGAAAGACAATTCCTTGACGTTCGAGGGCTGTGGTAGTATCGCAGAATTCGCCTCATGCGCTCGACCGTCAACAGTGAGGGAATGGGTTTCGATGGAAGTAAGAAAGGGTAGGGACATGAAGGCCTTGACAAAATCAAGCTTTTCGATCCGCTGGCCGTAAATTATCGCGACATTTTTCAATTGCGATAGATATGGTTTGACGGCAGACCCTTGCTCTCCGACACGCTGGATCATCTTGAGAAGGTATGATGACTCGGCCCAATAAGTGTGGCAGTCCATAAATCTCAACGTGTGGAGATTGGGCACATGTAGGAGCAGGAGCGCAGCGAGTGGGTCTTCATTGCCACTTCGAATTTGATCGAGCCAGTCATCGACTTCCTCTGTGGGTATGAGCTCAGTGGCGCGGATAGCTTCTTCGATGATTTCCATGCTGGTCTTCGAGTCTTGCTGAAGCCGTGTTCTACTCCTGGTGATTCGCTTCTCGTAGACCGCATCAGGTTTCCAACCCTTCCTTGGACTATCGTACCGCAAATTCAAATCCATCAACTTGACATAGTGTCCAATTCTGGCATCAGTCATGATCTCGCATAAAAGATCCGCCAGATGCCCACCAGTATCACGCCAGTTGGGAGGGTTGTTTGCGACCCAGTCTTGAAAACTAGTGTATTGCTTTCGTAATCTGCGGTGCTCTTCGAGCCGCGGAATGGCAAGCCAGTAGATGCTTTTTGAAGTTAGAGATACAGATTCGATGTCTCCGGGCAAGACCTTCTCCAGGATTCCAAGCACAAGCTCAGTTGACAGATCTTGGAATCGCGCCATGCTCAGGATCCAGGGAAACTGTAATCCGGGAGGTGTTGCTCAGCTGATGTGGATCTAAGCGCACTATGCACTGGACAGAAAGAACAGCAAGAGGGAGTAAAACCGGCAGACTGACTACTTTGCGTTACGCCGAATACGGATGCTTTCAGATAGTTCGGAATTCGTTCGAGGCTGTGTCAAACTGTGTGCTGATAGACTACTGGCTCGTCCAGAACACTTTGACGCTGGATTCAACCAGATTGAGGGATGAAGTCTTCATAGAGATCAAGAGCAAAAAGGTCTGGGTAGGGAAAAGAAGAACGTGAGCCTGGTAAATTTGGGGAGGTCGGTGTTTAGTCTATTGATAGATTCCAACATGGACAGGGGTACCAGTAGCCTAACCCATGAGGTATCGCTATCACCCTGAACTAGTCCTTACAGGGATAGTGCGTTGACACGACAGAAATCCGGGCAGAAATCCAATTGCGAAAGCTACATTAAAGTGCAACGCGACAAATTCCCCGATCACCGATTGTTGTGCCTCTGTGGTTCGTGACTAATTCTATGGTGGATGTCTTTCGGAAAACCTGGCATAGAATTGGCGGCGTATTAGTGCTCGCAAACAATGAGGCCATACAGAAATGACGCATGCACAAGTAGATATGTAGATATATGACTGGGCATATCCAACACTGGGGCAGCTAAGACCTTTCTGGACATGTAAATAGCCCAGAAAAGGCCCCCCAGCGCTAGAAAAACTCCCATGTCTGAGCGACATGCCCTGGAGTGAAAATGAAGCTATATATAGGTGTGGGTGGGAGGGAGAACAATGATATGGCTCTGAAAGAGAATACCTAATTCGAATGAAGAGCCCACTACTGGTGCAGTGGCCATACAAATAGTACTCGCCATGGCCACCTGTCTCCCTACTATCGCATATCGCATAATGATGGAACGGTTGATCAAGAAACCATCAACGCTATGGCCTCATAATGGACCCACTAACCCACAGTCCCACTATTGCGAGTGGATGTGTTTCGGAAAACCTGGCATAGAACTGGCGGCGTAATATAACGATCTCAACCTGCCTGGCGAGACTCTACGGGTTGCGGCCAACACCCAGTAGGTGCTATGTAGTGAAATCACTGACTTCGATCCCATCTGAGCGGAAGCATTTCTGTCCACCGCAGAACTTTGTTCACGTACTCAAATCTCGCGTCCGCTCCAGCAACTCGTCAACCGATAAAGCACCAATTCTGAACGAAAAATGTATCTCGCTCGTGAAACAGGCAAGCCATCCGACCTGGAAGCGAGTTCCACAAGAGATAGCTTGCAGCTGATTAAGGTGAGCATACTGCGATACCCGGATTTTGCATTCCGAAAGACTGATTTGCCCCTGTAGAGCTCTTTTCAGATGAAGACAACCAAAAGCCGCTTGGTTGCCGCCGAGAGCATTGCGGGGCCGAGAATGTATTAGTTCATCTCCCACGAGGAGGACTTGGCCGCCAAAGAAGGAGGCCTTTGTTGCGGTAGTGTCGCTTATGACCGTGACAAATGGTTGCTGAATCTTGTTGATCAGCTCCAGGAAAGGGGAAGGCAGCATTTTCTCTCTGCAACTGCCTTCTGCTTGCTCCACACCTCGTCTCTCATCTTGCCGGGTGGAAGAGCAAATCGATGTTTGTGACCATCGACGTCCGTCAAGATATCTGTGAGTGCGTTCTCGGCACAGTTGCAGTACCAGACGAGGTTCAGTGTGCGTTCTCCCGGTTTGAGGGTTCGTTTTTCTTGGGGTATTGTGTATCTATGGCACTATTTAGCATTTATGAGGAAATTGGACGTGCTTGATAGTGGGCTTACATGGTCTTGTAACCTTGAGTCCCAATGTATAGAGTGTTCTCCTGACCACAAGAATGTTTGGTTTTATCGGAGTGCAGGCGGGATCCGAAACAAGGCGATACTGCACGAAGAGGGCTGTCGCGGGAATACGCTTCAAGATCGTTGATGCAGGAACCCCACAGTCGGATTCTCGGCCAGTGCCCCAGAGGAACGATCCTCCGTGGAAGTGAAGGATAACTGTCCTCTGCTCATCACCAGGCTGAAAGAGCTTGGGATACCAAGTACCTCCGACGGCGGCTGGCTGCATCGCTGTGTCTTGTAAGACTCCGTCTTAGATGCCTATCTGGGGCCTAATTAAAATGAAATGTTCTTTTTCAGCGCCATTGCGTGGACATTGGAGGCAACATAGACTTGGTAAGAGTCACGCGGTGGAAGGACACTCTCAACAGCTCGTTTGTCAATGCCTGGCGGTAGGTCCATTTGGGATGCTGACGTGTCGACTTCGGGATGAAGTAGATGCTGAAGAATAGCATGCGGATGGCAACATGTACTATTGCAACAAGTATCTATAGAGTCTTGCCCGGCTGACGAGTGCAGAATGATTGAGGTGGATTAGTCGTATTGAATCGGCTTTCCGGAGTCACCAATGGTTGTAAGGTTGATTTGTGGATTTTGCATCCCTGAGTACGTGATACTTGTTCCTAACGACCCAGCAGGAGATGGCTGTGGTGTAAGAATGTCGACCTCTGGATGCCGAGCAATGGTTCCTCAAAGTACGCAGGCTCGTACTGAAGTATGCAATACTTCATCAGACAGACCTTTTCAACTGACGCTCGCAATAAAGCAAATATTTTTATGACTCTGCAAGAAGAAGAAGAGGAGGAAGAAGAAGAGTCTGATTGTTATGAGCAAGTGTTTATTTGGTGTGTAAGTATTTGGTCTAAT